TGACATTTATATCCAAGGCTATGTTTTAGTTCAAGAAGCAATACCTCAAACACGACGGCAATGACGACCTTCGTCAGTAGGTCACAACCTTGGGTCCACGAGGAGGTGAAGGCCACGAGACAGGCGTTGGAGATGACAGCAACGAAGTTGAGGAAGGTGAGGATGGAGTACCATATACCTGTTGGAATAGTCTGTCTCACAGTCCCTGAACCTCATTATTTTCCCTACTTTCTAGCCCTTTTTGCTATGCTGAAGCCCCAAATAAAGCAAGTCTAGATTTCACGAATCTCCCATCTCATTGGGGCTCCTTTTCAATTTAAATGGGATAATGGGGCGGTGGGGTAGCCTCGTGGTTAAAGCGTTGGCTCGTCACGCCGAAGACCCGGGTTCGAATCCCCACATGGGCACAATGTGTGAAGCCCATTCCCGGTGTCCCCCGCCGTGATGTTGCTGGAATATTGCTAAAAGCGGCGTAAAACCAAACTCAGTCAGCTTGTTAAATGGGATAATATCTATTCAGAGACTACGCGTTAGTCTACTGTTGGAGCCATACATAATGTTACGAAGTGAGAGCATCCTTCATGTCTATTTTACATATACTGAATGAAAATAGTACACTACATAAAACAAGACGTAAACCTAACACGGGGAGGCTAAACGAGAATCATAGATAAAAGCCCACAGCCTTTTACGTATTTTCAATCCAAATAGCCTTTATGGAAAGCTGCGCATGCGTCGAGTGATTGCTGTCCTGAGCGGTCGGCATCATGTGGCCCCGGGTGACTGGTGTTTCAGTCAAACTGAACTTGCATTTCAAGCCTTTTACAATATGTTAATAAGAAATGGTAGCAAACATGTCAAAGGAACAAGTACTGACTGACTGACTGAGTTTTGGTTTTACGCCGCTTTTAGCAATATTCCAGCAACATCACGGCGGGGGACACCAGAAATGGGCTTCACACATTGTACCCATGTGGGGATTCGAACCTGGGTCTTCGGCGTGACGAGCCAACGCTTTAACCACTAGGCTACCCCACTGCTCCTAAAGGAACAAGTAGAACCGTGCAATTTCAATAACTAAGAAAACAAATATTACACCTTCAAACAAACATTTGAAAAAAGCGTATTACTAGAATGTAAATAAAGAAACATATGCCAAAACAAATAATAGATAACAAACATACTAAGGATCAATTTGAAACAAACAAATAAAGAACCGTTTTCAAAATCTAATAAAATTAAATAAAACAAAAAAGAAAACGTCACAAATAGATAAATGGAACAACATTTAGATTGCATGAACAAGAATGAAATAACATTTAAACTAAAATGCTAAATATAGAAATAAAAAAGCGTAAATACAAAAATAAATAATTCATAAACAAACAAGCAAACAGTTTTTCGTATTTATTACTATAACTGACTGACTGAGTTTGGTTTTACGCCGCTTTTAGCAATATTCCAGCAATATCACGGCGGGGGACACCAGAAATGGGCTTTACTCATTGTACCCATATTACTATAACATTCGCAAAAGCGAATGCTTCTTTTCACTAATATTAACCAATATTTTTCACTTAGTAACAACCGATATCCACATAGTGCTTTTCGCTCTGTTCTTCACTAATATTTCGTTTTGTGAAAACAAAGAACACTACGGACCGTTTATCCGGTAAGTTACAAAGTCTAAGTGATGTGAAATAATTTGTATATATACTAAGCAGCAAAAGAAACGTCAGTTTGGAATTTTCCTTCGCAGAAACCGATAACTGTAAACTCATTTAATGTTTTGATTGTACATTTTTGACAACATCTCCAACTTTACCTGAGCAAAGGCATTACTTCCCAAACTCAGAATGGAACCCAGGAAATGGTCTCAAAACGCAATCTGATCTCGGAGATGGTACGGTGTTCTCCATGTTTTTCATGCAACTCATGCTGCACGTGCTGTTCAAAAGGACCAGCCCTATAAAATGCACCCCCAAACTTGGTTGTAACATTCACATTACAACGTCAGCAGGATGCCGCGACTCACGACAGCTCAGAGGACCCAAGCGCTAGGAAGACTTGAAGCTGGCCACACTGCACAAGCCGTTGCTGGCCACACTGCACAAGCCGTTGCCAATCACTTCAGGTCAACGTTCGGATCATCTACAGGCTGCAGCAACGTTTCCGGGCCACCAACACCACAAATGATCGGCCCCATACTGGCAGACCAAGGGTAACCACAAGACGACAAGACATCTATGTTGACAGCATGTACAGAATCCCTTCATGCAGGCATCCGAAAAAGCACGCCAGACAGTGGGAACACACGGAAGACCAATCAGTACTGATACAGTACGCCGACGTCTTAACAGCGGGAACCTCCATTGCCGTAGACCTTACCGTGGACCTATCCTCACCCCTCGTCATCGGCGTGAACGTCTACAGTTTGCCCTACAACACCAAAACTGGCGATACAGGCAATGGAGATCTGTTCTGTTCACAGATGAGAGTCGGTACTGCGTATCAACTGCAGATGGCAGAACAAGTATATGGCGACGACGTGGCCAGCGTTACTCAGACCAATGTGTTATGGAAAGAGACTCATGGGGAGGTGCAAGCATCATGGTATGGGGTGGAATAGGCCTGAACCAGAGAGTGGGTCCTGTGGTGTTCCAGAGCCTTGGTCCAGGGAGAGGAGGCGGCTTCACAGCGGTGTGCTACATCGACCAAGCCCTCAGACCCCACGTCATACCACATTTCGCACGTCACCGGAACAACATTTTCCAACATGATAACGCCCGGGCCCATATACTGCCAGAGCTACACTGGAATTCCTACAACAGAACGGTGTCAACATTATGCAGTGGCCAGCCCTTAGTCCTGATTTAAACCCAATTGAACATCTTTGGCATGAAATTCAGAGGAGACTGAATAATGTCATACTAAGGCCGAACACAGCCTGTTTATTGCGCCAGGCCTTTTTCAGAGTGTGGTTCCAGGTGCCAATGGCCTTCATCAATCGATTGGTGCACTCCATGCATAGACGCTGTGCTGCAGTTATTGCCACTCGTGGTGGTCACACTAGATACTGAAGTCAAGAGTCTGAATGGACTGCAAACGTTCACGTAATGTCTTGAAATTGTGCCGAGTTATTCACTGATGTGTCAAAATATTGTTCACAAAAAATGCATTTGATCCGCTTATTATGTCCATTTCTGTAATGATTTGATTACAGTGCCTATCTAATTTTTAATTCGTACTGACGTATTTTGCTGCTTAGTATATTTAGCACCGGGGCTTGGACTCACCAATATCTTTGGCAACATAGGCAAGTGGCCTTCGGTAGACGTGAAGCATCCTCTCGCCGTCCACGCGGAGATCCACGATGCTCATCACCATGGCAAACAACGGAGCCAAGGGGAAGGACGCCGCGAACAGCTGCATCCCATAACCGTTATATATACGAGGGTCGATCACAAAGTACGTAGACTAACTGTATTCTCGATGTCCAATGTTTGAAAAGCTTCCATTTTATTTTGAAGGAATCGTTAGCAAAGTCATATCCAAAATTTCACATATGTGGGTAATGTGGTTAACGAGATATTAGTCATCACAAAACACTGAGGTATAATATTTCTAACAAAATTGTAGAAAATTAAAATATGATCTGTCATTTGGTACCTCTTGGATAATGGTATGCCCTCAGAGTATATCATATAAAATATGTTCAGTATGGTATTGGATGACGTCCCGTCATAATCAACAGTCAAAGATTTGGATTGCTTAATTTATGTTTAGTCGAGGGCTGATTTTTAAGGACACCCCAATCTCCCTAAAACATTGTGTCCAGATATTCAAGCTGGTACTGTTTACAAAATATTGTGAGCTGACACTTGTGTGACCATTCAGTGTTTAGTTTGAACTCTTGACATCATGCACGAATAAGTGAAAACATTAGAATAAGTTATGTCCTTATGATTACGTCAGCTGAAAGGGGGTGGGTAGTGTCTCCAGAACAAGCTCTTTCAGTCAACATGAAGGGGGAGTCACTTTAACAAGCGGCTGTGGTTTCAAACTGCTTTTTTATGAACCTTTAATATCTAAGTGTGATTCTAGGGGACTTCTATCAATCTCAAACAAACAAAATATTTCTTGCATATTTTGTTTCCTGAAGGATTTGATGCATTTATTGTAGATTTTGCGTTTTTCGAGGGTACCAAGATAAAAGGTCAAACAAAATAGGGATCGTGAGACTGGAACACAGCAAAACCAAATTGCTTGAGCTTGACAGATAATATATAGAAAAATAAATCATAAAAATAACTGCATTTGTATCGTTTTCTAGGTGATTCTACATACTTTTTGATCGTCCCTCGTACATGTACTACTCCACTTGAGATCGTCATTTTTCATTTTTTTTCCCATGATGCGAAACTTGATTGTCATAACTTTGCAAGTTCATATCTAAGTAAATCTTGACTAGGATTAACTACACTAAACAACTGTATCTCAAACATGCGTATTTGAGGGAGCTCATAATATAATTTCACCCGCTTGTAAACGCTCTTGTTGGTAGAGGTTGGAGGTGATGATCACTTAAACAATATGGATGCTCTTATATCGAATTTCTTTCTTCAGTTTTGCGCGAGTATGAAGGCATCCCTCTAAGAAACCTGACCTCAGATTTACCCTTCTTGAAAATGAATTCTTGGTTTACACATGTCATCGTATCCCAATTGCGTAGAAACATGATCATGCTTTTGATTACTTGATAGTTTGGCCCAGGCTCAATTACTTGCAAAGTACCGTCATATACCTAAAATATTGCGATGTTAACAAACAAACAAACAAACACACAAACAAAACACACACATACAAACAACAAAACACCAGAGGCGAAACATACTGAAATACTGTTCAAACCAGCGTTAATTCTAAGTCACTCACTCACTCTAACACTCACCATCAGGTATCCGTACTGTATCACCTTCTCTGTGTACTCCCCGAGCGTGAAGTCATCCAGCTCGGGCTTCTCCCACTCTCTACGTAAGGTGTTGGTAATGTCGGCGCCACTCTGTTTCGGTCCGGTCACATTTGACTTGCACCATCTACAGCACTGTTTCGCTTTACTGCAATATTGACCCGTGCAGATCCGGGTTAGAATTGATCCTCAGCGACCCATGCTTGTCGTAAGAGGCGTCTAATGGGATAAGGTGGTCAGGCTCGCTGACTTGTGTGACACATGTCATCGTATCCCAGTTGCGTAGATCGATGCTCATGATGTTGATCACTGGATTGTCTGGCCAAGACTCGATTATTTACAGAGTGCCGCCATATTTTGGAAAATTGCGGCGTAAAACTCACTCACTACTGCAATATAATGTATGTACTACTTAAAAGTAGGTAAGAAAAACAATTCCGATACTTTCATGCTACCATAGTTGATCTGTCAGCATAACTGTCGACACTACTGTAGTATAGACGATTTGGGCTTTCCCAGCAGCACTAGCAGTCGCAGTAGTAGTGAGTGAATTTAGTATTAGGCCACTTTTAGCAATATTCCAGCAATATCACGGCGGGGGACACCAGACGTGGGCTTCACACATTGTACCCATGTGGGGAATCGAACCCGGGTCTTCGGTGTGACGAGCGAACGCTTACCCACTCGGCTACCCCATCGCCCCCGCTGTATGATGGTTTTGTTGCTGTTTTACGCCGCACTCAGCAATATTCCATCGATATATCGGCGGTCTGTAAACAATCGATCCTGGACCATTGATCAACAATCCATTGATCAACATCATGAGCATCGATCTACGCAATTATGATACAATGACATGTGTCACCCAAGTCAGCGAGCCAGACCACCTGATCCCGTTTGTCGCCTCGTACGACAAGCATGAGTTACTCCGTAGTGGGACATTGGGCGTGTATAGGCTATAGTAATTGCATACGTTATGCGAAACCGTATTTTGTCGGTTTGTCTGTCTGACATTGTTTCGTCAGGTCATCAAAATCAAAAGAACCATCTTACGGCCAGATGAAGTCACGGACAAACTTGATGAAGGACTTGGCTATCATCAGGGCGATGACCTGGAAGGTCAGCTGGGACATACAAGTCCCCAGACAACTGTCTCTGTAGTTCCCGCCTCGACCAGTCACACTGGACATGTCTACCCTCTGTAAATACACGACCAGTGCAAATATATATAACTAAACACGCCATGTTCACTTAATCGATTAAAAGACACAGTTTAATTTAATGTATTTTTTAAATAACCTTTTACACATTTCTTATTCCATAATGTTACACGTGCCACTATTTTTTCTTGGACTTCGTGGAGTTCTTGAGAGTTTCATTGTTTTGTTTATTTTGTGGGATTTCACTGTTTTGTAGGATTTCTCTATGTTTTGTAGGATTTCTCTATGTTTTGTAGGATTTCACTGTGTTTTGTAGGATATCGCTATGTTTTGTAGGATATCGCTGTGTTTTGTAGGATATCGCTGTGTTCTGGAGAGTTTCACTGTTCTGTATATTTTCAATGTTTTTTAATATTCCCCTGCGTTCTGTTGGGTTTCACTGTTTAGTTTAATTTCACTGTGTTTTGTAAGATTTCACTGTTTTTGTAGGATTTCACATTGCTTTGGTAGTTTTGTATGGTTTAATCGCATTCCTTATGATCAAACCGTAGTATGTTGGGTTTCGTATGAACGGTTGTATTGCGTTCTGTAGGATTTCATGGTGTTTGTAGGGTTCTGTTGGGTTACCTATGTTCTGTCCAGGTTTACTGTGATGTGTAGGGTCTCTTGTTTATTTCAGTGTGATTTGTTGAATTTCAGTGGTTAGAAGGGTCAAAGTGTATTTTGTTGTGTTTCGTTGCGTTTGTGTACGGTTTCACTGCGTTCTGTAGCTTTTGGGGTTTCACAGTGTGCTAAGGATTTCAGTAGATTCTTTTGTACTTCATTATAACATTGATATATAATTCACGCTGAGTGTTTAAGATGTGATATAATTTGGGGACGTATGTTGTGCCCTTAAACCTACAATGGTCTTAAGTGCACAGAAATCATGAATATTCATGAGTGGGCGGAGCTTATGTCACTACGTCACATACACGGCACAACAGACGTATACCGGTGGTTACGTAGCCGCAAATTTAATTATACCGGGGGCGGTGGGGTAGTCTAGTTGTTAAAGCGTAGACTCGTCACGCCGAAGACCCGGGTTCGAATCCCCACATGGGTACAATGAGTGAAGCCCATTTCTGGTGTCCCCCGCCGTGATATTGCTGGAATATTGCTAAAAGCGACGTAAAACCAAACTCAGTCAGTCAGTCAGTCAGTTATATCGGCGACGCGTAAGCGACATGTCAACTGTAAGTGTTATGTGCATATGTATTGCAGAACGGGTGTCTCATTAGATATACGATGCTTTGTTGATATCGGTCACTAGTTTTTCTAGATTCGATTATTGCTATTGCTATAACTGGATTATTGTTATGTGCATTATTTACCAAATATATAAAAATAATGCATAACAGGCAAGTTTTACCTCTGACATGAAAGCGATGTAAAAAACAGGAGGAGTAACTATTGGCAAATTCGAATGCAAACAGCTTCATGATTAGCGCGTCGTCATGCTTGGACTGACTCTTGTGATTCTCTGAAACATAAATAAATAAATAAAAAAAAAAAAAAATAAATAAATAAATAAATAAAAAAATAAATAAAATAAATAAATAAATAAATAAATAAATAAATAAATAAATAAATAAATAATACTTTTATATAATCACTTCTGTTTGAAGTTACAGGCTTATCAAATATTACCTTTTTCATTCAGCCGGACGGCAAGCCTTTTGTACAGCTGAAAAAACACAAAACAACACAAACTAACACAACATGACACAAAACAAAATAATGTAATGTAAAGTTAAAACCAGATGTGAGCGAGTATGGTTTTACGCCGCTTTTAGCAATATTCCAGCTAATATCACGACAGGGGACACCAGAAATGGGCTTCACACATTGTACCCATGTGGGGAATCTAAATCGGGTCGACGACGTGACGAGCGAAAGCATTAACCACTAGGCTACCCAACCGCCCCTAAATTCGCTTACATTATTGATATGGCTCTCATGCTTGTCGGCACTGGGGATCGGATGTCAGGCTTCGTGGATTGGCTGCCTGCGAGCGTTAGAGACATATAGTTTGCTTTCTCACTAGCAGGTGTGCCCGGTACGCCCTCGATTATGTTTAAAGGTTGTCATAGTATTGCTGATACAGTGTAACCGTGTCATTTAACAACATCGAGTCAGTGAACGCAAATGTGGCAAGGAACATGTACTGAGCGTGGTCCTGTGCTTAAAGCTCAGGTCACAAATCGGTGACGTTAAGCAGCGTCGAGCTCGGAGAGTCCTTGGATGGGTGACCGTGTTTGGCAGCCTGACTTCTGAGAGTTTCTAGGACTTGAGTCCTACCCCACAACGAAGCACATGTGGCACATGTGGTCTCACCTTAGGCAAGTGAGTTTGTTCAAAATTGTCTCTGTTCACCCAGCAGGAAAATGGGTACCCGGTGGAAAAAGTCATATGACTATAACCTTCTAGCGCCTAACAGGCAGCCTGGGTTATCAGGGGTAATAATGTGTTGTGCTATTGATTGTTAGCGCTATGAGCATACCTGGTGTGGAGTTTGGCGCTATATAAATGGACACATATTATTATTATTATAATGTACTGACCCCTTGATCAGATCAGTAATAGTCTTGCGTGTTGAGTATACATCCGATGATGATGATGACGACGCCGGCAGCGATGATGATGATGATGATGATGATGATGATGATGATGATGACGACGACGACGACGACGACGACGACGATCAAAGATCAAAGTCGTGATGATGATGACGACGGCGATGATGATGATGATGATAATCCTACCCTTGGTCCAGAATCGTTATGATGATAGGGTTGAGGAACGATGACATAATAGTTGATGATAATGATGATGATGACGATTATGATGATGATACCTTGTCCAGAATCGTGATGGCGATAGCGTTGATGAACGATGACATTATAGTTGCGATGATGATAAGGATGATGACCTCACCTTGCCCAGAAGCGTGATGGAGATAGCGTTGATGAACGATGACATTATAGTTGTAAGGATGAGACATTCGTGCTCGTTATAACCGGGGCATATGTCTATCCTTAAAGTGATTTTGTAGATTACAACACCGACGACACTCGCCACCACCACGGCGACCTGTACATACAGAAGCTCATGTCAGACATCTCGGGAACAATATATCAACACTCAATATCATGCGGCCTCTTACTTTCATTCCTTTGTGGATATATTGAACATATACACGTGGAAAAAAATGTCGCAACACAAATAATTTTTGTTTTATAGCCCTCTATATTCATATCATAATTATGATGGTTTGTGTAATTATTTTTACTCTTCTGGCGCGCCGTACAATTATTTTAGAAATGAAGGTAAAATGTATATCATCAACTGATGACGTTGAGGACCGTCAGTGTTCAGGTCGACTACAAATGACAACTTATATGGAGGATACAGCCCTTCTCAGAATCACAAGTCAAGTGGCGTGCTAAAAACAGAGTGGCTTCCACATGGCCGTTTGTCCAACAGAATGGTCTGAAATCGAATAATATATCGGCGGGGTAGAGCGCCAAACGACCTATCAGGGTCCGTTGTTATTCCCAGAACACAAAGTGAGTGAGTGAGTGAGTGAGTATGTTTTTTACACCGCTTTTAGCAATATTCCAGCAACATCACGGCGAAGACACCAGAAAAGGGGCTTCACACATAGTACCCATGCGGGGAATCGAACCCGGGCCTTCGGCGTGACGAGCGAACGCTTTAACCACTAGGCTACCCCACCGTTCCCAGAGCACAAAGCAGCACGACTATACAACTGAGAAAGTCACTATGGAGGGTCAGGGATGTTATTGTGGTTGGCGGCGGTTACACCAGCTGTTGACATTGTGCTTGGTTATTCATATATATATACTTATGTGATTTCCTGTTTTTACGCCAGAATCTTGAAAACAATCGCACCTTTTTGACATCATACAACCGTGGTTATCAGCACTACAAAATGAATCGATTTTTTGCCATTCCAGTTTTCGTTCTTTGTGGGTTTCGATTTGCAATGAATTATTTCTTGAAGGTAATGTTTTAAAGTTGAGGTTTTAAAAAGTTCCTTTGCTGTGGTTAATGGTAACATATCGATAGTATAGAAATAGGGTGTTGCGATACTTTTTTCCATGTGTATATGCCATAGAAAGATAGACATATCCTCACCATGAGTATAGCAACAGCCACGGATATGGATATTCGTCCACACTGCAATAGTGTTTTACTTATACCCTACAAGAGAATACAAAACATATTAGGTTTAGTAATAAATCATATTAAAAACATGAACTAGTAATCTGTCATCTACAAAACCACAAAAGAGTCAATCGAACCCGGGTCTTCGGCGTGACGAGCGAATGCTTTAACCACGAGGCTATCCCACCACCCAAACTGCGAAAGAAAGTTTGAATTTGAAATTTGGATTTGAAGAAAACGTTAAAAATACCAACGTTATCAAAACTTTATCAGGCTGAAAACAGCCATGGAAACACTGCACACTAAAAGTTCAGAATACAATCATTTCTTATAGTGTTTTTATTTCAGTTTAACCCGCAATGAAACATGACCCAGCAGTTTGTATTTCTCAATTTCTCAATTACTTTTGAGCAAATACAGTGTCAAGATGACACATACGTCCATGTACTATTACAGGCAACAAAATAGTTGAGGGCTGTATATAGACCAAACCCTCCAGCCCAATGCCGTCGGGAGTCTGAAAGTGGGCACTGCGTGTTATATCATGAACAAGACCGCCTCCGTGGTGTAGTGGTTAGAGCGTCCGCTCGGAGAGCGGAAGGATGCGGGTTCGATCCCCGACCGCGTCATACCAAAAGGCGTTAAAAAATGGTACTTGTTGGTCCTGCCTGGTGCTCGGCGTTACTGGGTACAAAAAGGACTGGTCGGCTCGGAGTCAGTATAATGTGTCTGAGTGGGGTATTCATGCCTAACTGCGGCATGGTATCTCAGTGAGCTAGCACTATAAAACCAGCTTAAGTCTGGGCTAGTACAAGCAGGCACGCATACACACGCATGCACGTCGTCGTATGAGCAAAATATTCTCAAGTACGACGTTAAACCCCTTTTCACCTCACCTCATCATGAACACAATTTGAGCGAGACGGACACCGTTTTTACCATTTTCCTTCTCAATCACCCATGTAGACTGTACGATAGACTGCGCTTGCGTTGCAGATACAATATCATTAGGTTCACTGTGCCTATCAAAGGTAATTTACACCTGCCTTCAAACTAACGTGTGTAACGCAAAACGTATGCAAGGATGATTTACAATGCTAGATCAAACTTGGTATTTACTATTTGAACACGAATGTACATGGATGCCCTTTTCTATAAAGGAATTGTGTTTGAAAGACGTCACTAACTGAATTGTTTGGTTCGTTGTAGTCGGGTCGGTCAGGTTCAGTGGTCTGCAGATCCTTCACGTCCCACTCAAAGGCAAGCCTGGACGACTTTCTCTTCCAGAACTCCAAGAAGAATGTACCTGTTCAAACCAACACCGTTCCACTGATATATAATACTCAGAAGACGTTGAGGGTCAAAGGTAGATTTCAGCATGGCATTTAATTATGCTTCGGTTTGTGTCCGTGCGATGCAAACAGTTTTGCTGGTTTACAGACAGCCGCCGTTCGGATTAAAGAGTTTTCACTGTACAGTTCATTTACCGTTATTCTCCCATACAACGTGGCCCATATTTTATGTTTGATGAAAATCTACTACTTACCCCAAATGCATACCAGCATTGCAAAGAATGGGGTGGCGCCATTGTCGAATGTTAAGTGGATAAAGTTCATCAGTTCAAATAATTTCATTTTGATCCTGAAAAGAAATTCAACAGCTCATAATATATATGTCTGGTTCAGTACGTAGGACAAAGAGTAATGATGACAGTATGCATTGCATATAAGAGGAAGTGAGTGAGTTTAGTTTTAAGCCGCTTTTAGCAATATTCCAGCAATATCACGGCGGGGGACACCAGAAATGGGCTTCACATATTGTACCCATGCCGTACCGGGTCTTCGAAGTGACGAGCAAACGCCTTAACCGCTGCCCCCTCCGCCCCATTGCATATAAGGAGACTATACTAGTTATTTATTACACACCGTTTAGTCGTACGATAGCAATACAGTCGTGCAATATGACGAACGTAGGTGAATTCGGTATTTGTACTGATTTCCGTTTTCACGGCTGCAGGATTTCCTTTTTCAACTGATCCAATATTCGACAGTACTCGGTTCAAAAGTAATATTTGAAAAATTATAGCTATTAAATAGAACAGTGTCACATCGTATTCTGTTTCGTTTCTTGCGTGCTTACAACCTGGCGCTTGATTTGGTGACGTCAGGAGGAATTAGCACGTGTTTACATATGCGACCTTACGTTTCCTCGTGTTTACATGTGCGACCTTACGTTTGTAAACACGTGTTTACATGTGCGACCTTACGTTTACATGTGCCATACGTCCCTACCGCGGAGTGATTTTCAGGTCGCAGTTTCAATAGTGACGTTTAAAGTCAGATTATAGCAGTCTGTGTCATGAAAGAGGTGTGTAATAATTATACAATGTCATACAAGAACATTTGTACGTAATGGAATGGTTATATCATTCCTTTCCCAAAACTATCACGCATTGTCACGCGCTACGTTGCAGCAATTTGACGTGCAGAGTTGCGTCCCGTGGGAACGCATAAACCTTGTATTGTGGGCTCGATTGCCATATTCTCATTGATACTGTCTCATGTTTTTAAGCGTCATACACG